TGTTTGAATGACCAGGGGAGCTGGTAGGTTCTGCATTTCTGGGCTCCCCAATAGCCAGGCAGGAAGCCCTTGCCAGTCATTTGCCTATTTGCTCTCAGGTTTGTTCCCCGCCCTTCCTGTACTCTGCTCTGCATTGCAGGGAACTCATTCCCCAGGTTCCCTTGCCAACTGGCTTTGGTGTGTTTGACCTAGGGGAGGCACTGGCACTGGCACTGGCGGAAGACTCAAGAGAGGAGAAGAGGCCATGGTATTCCTCCCCAGACATGTCTCTCCCATGCCTCAGCTTTCACTCAACAGACCTTGCCTCTAGCCCGTTCTGCTGGTCAACTTCACCGTGGTCTGGCTCCCATGTTTGTCCATTCAACCTGCTGTAGTTAATTTTCAGTGTCTTACCATCCTCTTCTTGGCCCTTCCATCTCTGTGTAAAGAATACCCTGCATTCTATTACTTCAGTTAAAATAACTAGATATGTTTTTGTTTTCCTGACTAAATTTTGATGATGCAAAAGCCCACATACACTGAATGATTTAAGATTATTGTCTGAGAATACTAGTGTTCACTGTTCAGTATAACTCTGAGATCGTTCATTTCTTTTCATTCATAAGAGGGAGTTGAAACACTAGTCCCAATCTTGATAAAACCCCTGAGGGATTTGACTTCTGATGCTTGGCTGACTGAGATCTCTCTCTGTTCCTTCTCGTCAATGTTTTTTGTTTTCCAAAGCCAAGAAGCCATGCTCACATATACACATATGGCTGTGTCCACCCTTCTCTCCCAATGTGTTTTCTAAACCTTTGCTTATACAACGTACATATTTGTGTGTGGTGGTGGTGGGAGCTGTATATTTATTTCCAAGTGGCCTGGTTGCAGGCTCCTCGAAGGTGTAATATATCAAATTTTCTGTCATTGTGATGTGTTTTTTTTTAAAGATCAATTTGATGTACATTCTCACAAACATTGATGTATTAATATAAGGCTTTTTTTTCTTTCTGATAAAAAAATCACCTTTGTTTCAGTAAAAAAAAAAGTAAATAAAAGAGGATTTGACTGAGAACTCCTTATATGTGAACTGTTTTGGATTATACCATTTTTGGGGAAATTAATGAATTGTGAAAAGGAAGAGTTATTATGTGACCCTTCAACTCCATTACTTTTGTCACGTTAGAGGGGTGGCACATAATACATTTTAAATAAATAAATATGCAGGAATTAATGCCTAACTGCAGGTACAGGTACATGGGAACTTAGGGGAAGCAGAGACATTGTAAGTAGAATGGACAAAGCCTTCTCCCCTCGCTCTCCAAAGTGGTACTTTCTCTGCTTTCCATTGTCTAATTAAATTCCACTGGCTAATTAGCTCCAGAGGGAAGAGGCCATCCATGCCTTGAAGATAATCCCCTCCTTTCAGTTAGATGATGGTGATTAGTATACTGTGCTAATTATAATTCCATGAGGTAGACACCCAACTTGAGGAGTGGTCGACTTGCTGTCCTTACTTGATTTCCTTGGGTGGCTCCTGACAACATTACCCAGCATTTTGTTACTGTTAGGATTGCCATGAGGATTAAATGAGGCGTCCTTGTGTAGGCACAGCATGGGACCTGGCATATAATAAATGTGCAGTAATTGTTGGTTATGATTGTATTATCATCACCATCATTTATGTTTATTGAGCATATGCTTTGTGTTAAGTGTTTGACTTGTATTATCTCATTTAAACCCCACAAAACCTCTAGGAAGTGGAAACTAATCCTCATTTCACCAGTAAGAGAACTGGGGCAGGGGGTGGTGGTAAGTGGTTTGTTCAAGGTCACAAAACTGCTAAGAGATAGAGCCGAACCTTGAACTTGTTCAATTTGATTCTAACTTGTTTTCCACATTGCTGAAAAATCACTGAAAAATACATTTTAAAAAGTAACATACAATAAGCAGGCATTGAAGATATGTTAGCCACAAATTTAGCATGGTGATGAGAAAAACCTGATTGGTTCCCTAGATCAGCAGTGTTTCATGAGCACCCTTGTGTAAAAAGCTCTCCATAGGGAGCATTGGTTAGAGAACAAAGAAATGCGGCAGATGATCTCAGTGAGAGGTCACTAAGTCCCTCTCACACAACAGTGGGTTGAACATGCACTCACTGGATGATAGCATGGACCTGGGAGAGGAGGCAGAGGAGCCTCCCATAGGTGGTTCTTGCACCTTTACCTGGTTCAGGAGACAGGGTTTAACAGATGTCAACATTCAAACCTTGGTTTCACCTTTCTGCAGTATGGCCTTGAGTGAGTTTCTCTACCTCTTTGAGCCACAGTGTTCTCATGCATAAAAGGGAGAAAGTGACAGTGACTTTACAGACATCCAGTGAAGGCCCTTATTTCTGATACAGGTACATGTTAAAGCGGTTTTAGTCTTTAAACATATTATTGTGCTGGGTAATGTCAACCCCAAACAACCCCAAACAAACACACAAATAGCCTTGAGCATTAGGTTCCGCACTTGTAGATTTCCTACTAGGTTCCTGATTCCTGGGTTGAGGATGGAGCACACGGCCCTATTCTCCCGTCCGCAGGGCTGGGCAAGCCATTTCCTATCCAGTCTCCAAATGTCTGGAGCGACTCTGAGCTTGAGGCCCAGCCATCTCATCCTAGCAGCTCCCTGTCACGTTTTTTATACCATTGACCAAACTTTGGGTCATAATGCTCTTCAGTTTGTGAAATAAAATTCCAGAATATATTTTCTAAAACACCCAATCCATTGAACATGCAAAAATCTAAGGCCTCTGACTAGTGAAAATATGTCAAGCTCATTTATCAATGGTTAGTGCATTTTATTCTAGAAAGCCTTTATTTCTCAGTCCTGTTTATGTAATGCAATTGCTTTGGCAAGACAGTCATGTGATGGAAATGGGAATTTGGTGTGATGCAATGACATTTAATGAGTTGTTAAGAGGAGCCAGTGTCTGATGTGAGAGATAAAGGGGAAGGGAAGGAAAAGGTGACAATTTCTGGGTCACCCGAGGGCCTGATTCTGAGGTTGTTACACTTGTGAGGCTGCCGGATTTCACAGGTGATGATATATGCCATTTTTTATAGTCACAGAGACTTGGATTCTGCTAAAAGTGAAACAGTTTGGAAAAGCCAACCGTCAGGTCGTAGATCTAATGGAAAAGCATCCTAGTTGGAGTCTGGAGAGCACCAACATTTAGGTTCCTCATTTGAATAAAGGTACTAATGTAGTACTGTGGATTGTTTTGCCAACTGATAAATCTTTGGATGGCTACTTATATTTGTATATATACTCTGAAGATATTACATTGAAATTTTATTTTACGTCTTTCAACTCTCAAACTGTGGTCCACCAAGGCCAATATTTATAGAGGGGAAGACCCCTGGTCCAGTAGCAAAAATACTAATTTGAGGGTTTGAGAACTCAAGTTTTATTTCTCCGATGTTCTATGCAATTTGGAGAGGTATGATCTGGTATAATTATTTATGGAAGAAAAGTGTTCTGAAAAGCGCAAATTGAGATGTGTTTCTTTTTTAAAAATATATTTTTATTGATTTCAGGGAGGAAGGGAGAGGCGGGGGGAGAGAGATAGAAACATCAATGGTGAGAGAGAATCATTGATTGGCTGCCTCCTGCTCACTCCCTACTGGGGATTGAGCCCACAATCTGGCGATGCCCTACCACTGAGCCACCCCACTGGTTGAGATGTATTTCTGTTGCATCTCAGATGTTCAGATTCGCCTGTATGGCATTTTACATAATTTTTTTTTATTTGTTGCCTCTTTGATATGCCCCTCATTTTGGGAGTGAGGCAGGTAGACGAGGTGGGTTTTCAGGTCTCAGTGGCTTTCACCACATCCGGGGTCAGGGAACCAGGGGGCAGGAGTGGCTCATGCCTTTGAAGAGGGACTGAGGATGCTGTTAATGCTCTGAGGCAGTGTCCTATGTTGGGGTTCTCTCTGGGAATGAAGTGCTGCTGGAAATACTTTATGACACATACCTGTACAATCAGGAACCGTAGGAAGCAGTCATGGCTGGAGCTTCAGGGTCGTGATCGTATGAGGGAATCAGCTATCCTGTATAATAATCCTGTATAATAAAAGGGTAATATGCAAATTGACCCAACGGCAGAATGACCAGTCGCTATGATGTGCACTGACCACCAGGGGGCAGACGCTAAACTCAGGAACTGCCCCCTGGTGGTCAGTGCAGCGCTGCTCAGCCAGAAGCCAGGCTCACGGCTGGCAGATCACTATGGCAGTGGCGGGAGCCTCTCCAGCCTCCACAGCAGTGCTAAGGATGTCCGACTGCCGACTTAGGCCCGCTCCCCATGGGGGCGGGGGCGGGGGGAGCCTAAGCCAGCAGTCGGACATCCCCTGAGGGCTCCTGGACTATGAGAGGGTGCAGGCTGGGCTGAGGGACCCCCCCTCAAGTGCACAAATTTCGTGCACCGGGCCTCTAGTACAATATAACGTAATATGTTGGAGAAAAGCTCGAGCTGCCTCTTGAGGTGGTCACACTTAGTCTCTCTCTTTCTCTGTTTCTGTCTCACTATTCCTCTCATTCTTCTCTCTTTGTTTTTTACTCTCTAGGTTGGTTCTCTCCCTTTCACTTTTTTTTTCTTTCCTCTTTCTCTTTTCCCCTCTCCCATTCTCTCTCTTTTCTCACCTTTGGGGGTGGGGTGCAGGGGGCTAAAGGATCTGCCTTATCAGGTGTGTTGGCCCTTCTCTCTGATTCCTCTTCATGGGTTTTCCTGGCTCTTCTGCACTCTGGCCTGAATCCTCCCCTCCAAGGTGGGCAGATGAGTGTGAATTTCCAATGACTGCTCTGCTGAAATTAGTTTACTCACTGGGTAGCAGAAGACATTTCAGTCATATCTTCTTCCACAAACCCAGAAGATGGGCAGCTTTCACTAAGGAGCTCTGCTCAGCTTTCATCTCAGTCATGGATATAGTCTTCCTCTATGATGACCAAGGCTGTTGTCTTTCTGATTATAGATTGAGGAAACTCGGCTCAACATTGACAAGATCTCTGAGCATGTAGAGGGGGCTAAGAAACTCTACAGTATCATTCTGTCTGCACCAATTCCAGAACCAAGTGAGTGTTTACCCAGAGATGAGTCACCCAGTGATGACCCTTGGCATAGGGGCTGAGCCAACCTTGTTTTTCCTTCCCTCTGTGAACAGCAGGGCAGCGTACATATGCATTATATTCCACCAGTGTACACATCATATCATCTCCCATCCTCCTTTACCCTATCTGGGCTCACCCTGCTCAACCATAGTCAGCTCTTCTCTTCATGGTCCCACGTAATCCATGCAGTGAAACTCCTCTACTTCCCAACTGGTTGCTCATGACTGACAGTGACTCTTCCTGCTTCTAATGAACCTCATCTCAGCCCCATCTCTGCCCCTTTGCTTGTGCTATCTCCTAAGTCTTACCAGATCAAGTCCATTATTTTTTCATGAGGCTTTACAAAATGGTTCAAGTCCACATCAGTTCCTCCCATCACTAATCTCCTGTTTGTTACCAGCATGGAAAAAATTTCCCCCCTAATTATTTCAAATTTTTAGAGTAGAGTTTAGGATTATATTTTAGATTCCATAAGAACAAGGAACAAGTTTGTTACTGTTCAACTTTTTCAGTGACTCTCTATTACCTAAAGATTAAAGTTGAAAGATGTTAGTAGAGCCTATGGCATGGTCTTGGCCACATTTTTGCCATCCTTCCCCATGTTACCCACACTGTAGCCAGACCAAACTTTGTTCCCCAAATGCTTCTTGTCCCCAAAGGTCTTTCACATATTGTTTTTCCTCCCTGAGACTTCAGTCTTAGTCTCTTTTCCAACCTGGTTAACTCTTAGTCCTTCTTTGAGATTTAGTCCTATTATCATCTGTCTTTAAAAGCCTTTCCAGGTCCCTCCAGCTGTGCTAGTGGGCTCTTCCTAACCATCCCATCCCATCCCATCCCATCCCATCCCATCCCATCCCATCCCATCCCATCCCATCCCATCCCATCCCATCCCATCCCATCCCATCCCATCCCATCCCATCCCATCCCATGCATGCCTTGACCAGAACTCACACCTTAATCCACACTGCATATTAGAACTGCAATCAACGGTGTCCCTTTTGTCCCTTGTTCCCCACTAGACCCTGAACAGCTTGAAGGCAGGCTCTATATCTTTTCTCTGAAAACTTAGTTTCTATCTCAGTTCCATGCTTGTAGTAGGTGCTGTAGGGTGGTCATAGCTAATACTCATTTCGCTCCATACCTCCTAGGACAGCATTGTGTGTCATAAATATATGCTTGATTCTAAGTTGATAAACATGGAATTCTTTTCTCCTCAGAAGTACCATAAAAACCCTATTCTCCCTTCTAAATGGAAGCCCTTATGGTAAACTGGATTATTTCCTCTAAAAACAAGGTTCTCAAAATTTGTGTGCTGGAGAATTACTTGGGAAGGCTTGTTAAAAAGACAGATGGCGGAGATCCAACCCTGGGGGTTTTTATTCTGTAGGTCTGGGATGGAATGCCTGGAAAATGCCTTTAAAAGTAAGCTTTCTATGATTCTAATGATGGAGAGCACACTAGAATAAATATTGCTCTGGGCATTAATAATTAGTCTTTTCTAACTGATCATACCTGCCTTTGTTTACCCAGAAACCAAGGATGACCTAGAGCAGCTCACGACTGAAATCAAGAAAAGGGCCAACAACGTCCGGAACAAACTGAAGAGTAAGAAGGGAGTAAAGGGAACAAGCCAGCCCCCACCACTATCTGTGTCACATCCACAGGGTCCAAATCTCCTGGACCAAAACTCATCCTGGTGGAAGCAAAGCCACTTATTTTATCTTTGCCTGTGGTTTGGGCACTCTCCCCAGAAATTTGCCTGTTCTTGATCATGACTGTGTTTGAAAGAGTGCAGAATTGAAGTTAAGAGATGGGCATTGACGTGTGCTCTCAGCTACTGAGTAGTTGTGTGACTTGGCAGCTTTCACTAAGGAGCTCTGCCTTTCTCTGTTTCCCCAGCACCTATGTACATTTGAATAGTAATGGTAGAGATATATAGATGCACAATATATTATTTAGTCTATTGACATTTCTTGGGGATGTGTATCACCGGCCATTACCTTAGCCCCACCCCTCAGTTTAGAGCATTGTTCAGTGAGCAATGTCATAGATTTAATTCCTCTGGGGGCCTAGAAGGTCTCTCAGTTCAATGGCTGTGGTCTGCATCTCTGTTCAGTGAATGTATGTTATTGGTCAGAGAGTGAAATCAGCGTTGTTCAGCCCAAGTTATTTCTTTTTCACTCAAAACTAATCACTGTACTTGTTTTCATGGGGATAGAGGTGGTGGTCATAGTAGCAACTTCCAATAATAGCAATGATGGTGTGTCTGCCACTGAGCCAAGCACTCTGTGCGCAGTCCCATTTAATCTTCACATCAGGATTGTGAGGGAGGTGCTATATGTATTCCATTTTATAGGTGAGGGAATACTGAGAAAGGTGAAATGGCTTTCCCAAAGTCACACAGCTAGTAAGTGGCAGGACAAGGGTTTGAGACTGAGTTTCTTGGTGAGTAAGGCTCATGCTGTGCTAAGATATACCCAAAGAATACCTGGTAATAGCAAAGGGTGTGAAATGCAAGTCCTGTGGCTCATATGTGAGCTGACTTTCAGAGATTGTACCTGCCTGTTGCTCCATCTCCATGGGCTGGGTGTGTGAGAATGAGCAAGGAGATTTGTATTGACCAGTGTGTTTCTCAGAGGAGAGCAGCAGGTGTGTTGCTGGAATAATCTATCTCTTTGCTCCAGGCATGGAGAGGCACATTGAAGAAGACGAGGTCCGCTCGTCTGCAGACCTTCGTATTCGAAAATCCCAGGTAGGACTTTCTCTGGTTTAACTATCATCTAGTTTAATCTCTTAATTTATTTTTTTCTTAGCTCAGGGTTTTTTTGTTTGTTTTGTTTTGTTTTTAAGTACAATTCTTATTTGGAACTCAACTGGGAACTGGAAAGGAGGAGCTGTCCAGGTTAAAGTAGAGAACAGGGCTGAAGTCCAGCCCTCCTGGCCACTCTGATACTCTCCTCCAAGGAGGTCCCTGAAGAACTTCCTAGGGCTCCCAAAAACATAGCTTAGGATTTTGTATGCCTCCTTGTTTTACAGGGGAGGAAATTGAAGTCTTCTCTCTAAAGATTGTTTGTCATTAGTTGTCCAGTTTGGAGTTAGGCTCTTTGGTGGACATCAAAGATAATGATCCTTGTCCTTGAAGAACTAGCATGATGTTCAGGTGGCATAAGGAACCTGTTATGGAGGGCAGTGTAAGAATACATAATCTATTGCATATGTTCTTAGCATTATAAGACCTCAGGAAGAATTGGGGGTAGCCAGAGGAGGCTGAGCCTTGGGTGAGTAAGAGTGCCCACATGGACAGACAGGCTCAGGGTATGTGTGTCTCTCTGTGTGTCTGTGGGTCTGCAGGTGTGTGTATCTGTGTTTGTTGGTGTATATGGTGTGTGTGGGTGTGTGTGTTGGTGGCGATGGGGGTGAGGTAGGGATGAAGGACAAACATGAAGAGAGGCAGCCCATTGCTTTCTAGGGACTCTGATTATGATCGAGTCACCTGTATGTATTTGCTTCAGGTTGAAGTCTTTTAGTTTGAAAATTGGCTCAGAGGGGGGAAGAGGCAAGAGGAAAGTTGGCTAGGTGGGTTTTTGCAATGATTTTGTTTCTGAATTTTCACAGTGGTCGTAGGTTTGAAAAAGTATAAATATTGGTGATTTTTCAAACCAGTGGTGCTTAATGGCTATTGAGTGAATGCATTCACTTTTTTATTTAGAAGCAAAAAGAGTTGGGGAGAAGAGTTTGAGTAAGAATTCAGGACTTTGGCAGGTATGGGATGTAGAAAGGGAATCTGACAGCTTTAGAAAGCAGGCCAAGAGTTGTGCCAGAAAAATGCTCCTTGTCCATGTGGGTGCAGGGCTCTGAGATTCACAGAGTATCTCGTCTGGCCTCACAAGTACCACATGAGGTCAGCAGGGCAGGTAAACCTGCTGAAGACAGGCTTTGGAAAGATCAGTGGATCTCCCATTGGTGTAAAGTTAGAACACCAAAAAGTTGAGTCTGATGTATTAGTCTTTTCATTCCAAGGCCAGTGCTGCTGGAGATGAAGCTATGTGGGGTGGTGTTGGGGGTGGGGGTTCTACAGCAGTTAGGGACCTCCCCCCTCCCTCACCTACTGCATTTGACATTCTTCCCACAGCACTCTGTCCTGTCCCGGAAGTTTGTGGAAGTGATGACCAAATACAATGAGGCTCAAGTGGACTTTCGTGAACGCAGCAAAGGGCGAATCCAGCGGCAGCTCGAAATCAGTGCGTGTCTGAAATTTCGTGGTGCTTCTTCACGCTTTCCTGCCACATGGTTGTCTGCCCCAGTTGTGAGATATGGGGAGAAGGAGCAGCAACCATGCTTGGGCTTCCATCTCATATTCTGTGCCCAAGCCCGGGACACTCCCTGGATGCTGGTTCTTAGGCTGAAGGTGGCTCAGTGTTTATCAGGCCCAAGCAATTTTGTCTTTATGGAGGCCAGCGTTTCCTATACGTAGAGAGGAGACACTTGCTAAACAATGGCTCTCCTGGGGACTCAAGATGTTTTTTGCTGTCTTTTTGATAGCAAAGACCATTTATGAAATAAAAGGTGTGATGCTAGCTGCTGTGAGGAACGAGGACATTAATGAAGCTGTGCTCTTTAGGAATTTGGTAACGTGGAACTCAGGGCCCTGTGGGGCGGTGGGGCTGGGAGCGCCCTGTAAGTGGAAGAACTGTAGGAACAAGGAAGTTGTGAAAGAAACACAAGTGTATTTAGGAGTGGCAGGTTGTCCAGGGTCTGGGGAAAGTGTGCATTTGGGAATAACAGTGAGAGGTTAATGGGGATGCAGGAAGGGTCCACCCAGGAACTGACTCCTTGTCCTGAGGGCCTTGGTCTCTGAGGTGTAGTGATGGGACCAGTCAATGTTCTGAGCTGGGAAGAATGTGATTAGGTATATGTTTCAGGAAGATAATTGCTGATTATGTTAACAATGAATCAGATTATGGGAGAAATCGAGGACAGATGAGTCAGGAGAATGTTGGGAGAGTGTTGTAAAGGCCATGGTCTTTATAGTGGAGTTACCATATTCCTAATCTTCAGGGAACTTTTGAAATGGTGTGTTTTGACCTTATATTCGATGCTCTGCTTCTGTTATAAAGCCGGCAAGAAGACCACAGATGAGGAGCTGGAGGAGATGTTGGAGAGTGGAAACCCTGCCATCTTCACTTCTGGGGTGAGTGACTCGGGAGCTGGGGTGTATGCCCCTCCACAGAGGAGGGAGGCCACTGGGGAGCTCCATTCGGGTAGCCAGGGAAGGGTGGGCTGCAGGTGCAGGGAGGCAGGGGATGTGAGGAGCTGGGCAGGAGGGGATGTGAAGGCTGCAGCAGGGGATGGTGGCTGATGGCCTGTCATTGTGCGGCCTCTTGTAGATCATTGACTCTCAGATTTCCAAGCAAGCCCTCAGTGAGATCGAGGGACGGCACAAAGACATCGTGAGGCTGGAGAGCAGCATCAAGGAGCTCCATGACATGTTTATGGACATCGCCATGCTGGTGGAGAATCAGGTAACTGGCCACGGGTATCAGTGTGGGAGGGAGAAGAGGGAAGCTCAGGTACTTCTGAAAATGGTGAGGAAGAGAATATGAGGACCCAGGTGAGGGAGCATCATCAGAATTTGCTTGAAGGAGAAACAGAATTTCAGTATCCCAGGGAAAGGAATGCACACTTGGACCCTGACACATGGCTTCTCGTTCTTTTTAGTACTTTGGCCTCAGTCATTTCTAGTTAATATGGGGTTACAAGTATCTTTCAAGTGCCCAGTTTCCTCTGGACTCAGGTTCTATTTTTATTTGCTTTTTAAAGTTAGAGATAATGGGTTCTTAATGATGATGCCTTAAAACAGTCTCCTGATATAAACGGTTTCACTGGTGAAAAGTTAGATTTAATAGAAGTTTTTATTATTTTTCCATTTTTGTTTTTTATTCTATATTTGTTCTTCCAAAAATGTTGCCACTTTTGGCTCAGAAACAAGAGTAGATGATAAAGTGAATGAAGGAATAGCACAGTATTTACATAAGAACTTGAAACACAAATGGTGCTTAGCTAGACAGCTTGTTCTGTCCCTGGGCACACTTCTCAGGGATGCGAGTCTGTCTCCTGCGTGCAGTGTTAGTTTCACATAGTCAGACACAGCCCAGTGTTGTGGTGTCGTGCCGATATCACTGAACCTACAGCTGCTCGGCCAGCTGGACAGGACTGAGAACTGCTTCCTTTGAAGGACTGCAGAACTGAACTGTAGCCCGAGCACTGCCTGGCTGGCAGTTGACATCAGTTCCCTGCTCAGGGCTCAGTGCCATTCCTCCTCCCAGTCTGGCCTTTGAGACCATGTTGCTAGTCCTTCCATCCCCACTTTTCCTTTTTCTCCCCACACTGCCTTGCCGAGGAGCTGGTTTGAGATCCAAGTGGTGGTAAGTGCCTTTCCCTGTTGACAGACTGTTGTAAAACGATGGGTCGAGTTGAGGGAAGATGTAGGTAGGTGAGGGGAATTCCCATCCTAAGGTGCCCAGAAATTAATTGTAATGAGAGCACTTCTTGTCAGGAAGTAATAGCTGGGAAATAGGTTGGGAATCTTCTTAAGAGATCACTGTCTCTTAGCCACATAGCTTGGGTGAACCCAGTGTGTCACTTAAGGGGCCTGGGAATATCTCTGAGAAAGTACATGTTCCCACCCTCAGATATTTATGGAGTACCTACTGTGTGCCAGGCACCATTCAATGGTATTGAACAAACTTAGTTCAAGCCAAATGAACTTGATTCAGGTCTGAATGACCAGGAAGAGGCCAGGACCCTGGTAATAGGTAAATCAGGGGAAAAGGTGGGCATGTGCCCTCTGAAGGCCACACATCAGGTTTTCTGGATGCTCCCCTTGGCATTGAAGATAATGATGTGGGGATAGGACTGTCTGGGGGAGGGGGGACAGTTATTAAGTGTGACTAGTGTCTGTTCTTTGCAGGGCGAGATGTTAGATAACATAGAGTTGAATGTCATGCACACAGTGGATCACGTGGAGAAGGCACGGGATGAAACTAAAAAAGCCGTGAAATACCAGGGGCAGGCCCGGAAGGTGAGACGCCCGCCGCCTTCAGGGAAGAGTCCATGTTGTGCGCTATCTCTCGCTCTTTCTTTCCTCTCTCTGTCTCTTCTTCTGCTGCCACCACCTCTTGCATCCCGGGAAAGGGAGCCATGATTGACCGTATCGAGAACAACATGGACCAGTCAGTGGGTTTCGTGGAGCGAGCCGTTACCGATACCAAAAAAGCTGTCAAGTATCAGAGTGAAGCTCGGAGGGTGAGCGCCTTAGTCCCAGCTGGTCCTACTTGCCTCTCCTCTCTCCAGTTATCCCCATCTGTGTCCTTGAACCTGTGCCTTCTCTCTCTGTCCTGGCCTCATCCAAACACCTGTGTCAGCCTCTCCTAGAGACTAGCTGTCCTTCCTTCCCGTGCTGTGCCTCTCATGGATCTGGCTCACAGGCTCGCACCCCAGAACCACACTGAAGGCAGTTCTGTAGGGTGGAGCGATTGCCCGGGTGTTGCTCCTGGGCAAATGTTATACTTGACTCCTCTGAAACCTTCTCTTCCACTCAAGCAGCCCAAGATTCCCCCCACCCCCGCCCTTTCTCTACCAGGAAATCAGTGCTGTGCTGATTGTTGTGAACATGGCGTATCTTACGGAGCACCTACTAGTTCTACTTCATAGATGACAGGAGGGTCAGAGACGAATTGGCTTCAGGCCACCTAGTCAGCATAGGAGCTTGGATTCAGATTCAGATCCTAATCATGCTCTTCCCACCACACCATCCTATCTCCCCACCCACTTCCTTCTGGTGCCCCGATGCTGGAGGCCTTCTGGCTTCTCTGCCCATTGACTGGTAGCCAGCTCTGTGGCTTTTGCTTGCTCTTTAGACGTTTCTTTCCTGTTCCTCCTGGGCTCTGATATTTTTGTTCTTCAGTTCCTTGTTTTCTCACTTCACCTGTTGCTTGCGCAGGGATTTGGGAAGCTGGGGCGTTACTTTACATGATGAATCCAGGCTGGTTCACAATAGGACCATACTCTTGCTTTTGGATGTCCAGTCACTGGGGCTGTCAGGTGGGTGTGTGCTTTAGGGAGGAGATGGACAGAGTTTGACATTAGGACTGTGTCAAAAATATCGTTGCACCCCCTTTGGAAAATAAAAGATGAATCACTTTATATCTTGGCCTATTGCTGCGTGGCGACTCCATGATAGTTGCTCTTATGTCTGTCCACATGGGCAGGACAGCATTGTGAGCTGAGAGCTGATAGAAACTCTGTGTTTCCATCTAGAATATATAGCTAGCCAAGAAGTAATCTGATAAGTATAAAATATCCTAATGGAATGTCTTCATATAGGCTGTAGGCTTTTTTATTTGAATTGCTAAGATGCTTTCGATGTTGAGGTGAGAGGGGTTGGGTTTTAGATGAATTATTATTGCTTTTGGCTGTGTGTAATAATGCCTTGTTTTTGTTTCTCTTATCCCTCTCCAGAAGTTGATAATTATCATTGTGGTAGTAGTTGTGTTGCTGGGCATTTTAGCATTGGTTATTGGACTTTCCGTTGGGCTGAAATAAGGGCGGCCCAAGAGGCTGCTGCACTGAAATGTAAGTAAATGGAAGGTTCTCGGGACTCTTTTTTGACTTCCTCTTGACAAATTAGCCTGGGATTTTAAATCCTGCTTCTTCCGCCTTGTGATTGTCCTTGGACTTGCTAAAACTTTCAGTTGTCTGTACATTCTGTCATCTCTTTAAAATTCTGTTCTTGGGTTCTGGCTGCAGTCGGTGGGTTGGGTCTCCTGGTTGTCCCTACTCTTTGCCTGTTAATGTTTCACTGCCATTCCTGGTCTCTCTGAGCACTTCATTCCCACTCCTCTTACCCAGCAAGCATGCTCCTGTGCTGGGTACAGTCTGTGTTCTGGATCTGGGCTTTGTCTTCTGAATTCTTACTGGATTTCATGGATGTTGGGCTTTGCTTTTTCATCTTCTTTTTAGTGTAAATGAAGTTTTGAATTGGGAATGGTGTCTGTAGGGGTTTGTTTGTGGCTGACTGTTTGGATCGTGAATGATTTAGTAGTTAACATTTTTGAATGTTGAATTGTGCCAGACAATGTACTGAACACCATATACACATAACACTGACTCCTCACAACACCCTATGAGATAGGTGCTATTATTATCCACATTTTACAGGCGAAGACACTTCGGCTTAAAGAGAAAAATAATACAACCAAGTTTGAACATACAGCTAATAGTGGACCTATGGGAGTCCTTATTGACATCTTAGTTTCTCTTTGTACAACAAGGTAGCTATTTATCATTGTCTACAAAGTCTAGAGAACCCTAGTTGATAGTGACTTTAAAATATAGCCTATTAATTTCTTTTAAAATCTGGTAAAAAGAATAAGGCTCACCCCTGAATCAAGGTTTCATGTATATAGTGGTAGCATGATAGGAATGATCTAGTTATTGGGAATGTTAAAACTTAAAACTCTTAAGTCAGTGACTTCTTGAATATTACTTTCCTGAATAAAATATAGTATTTTTTAAAAAATATATTTTTATTGATTTCAGAGAGGAAGGGAGAGGGAGAGAGAGATAGAAACATCAATGATGAGAGAGAATCATTGATTGGCAGCCTCCTGCATGCCCCCTTCTGGGGATCAAGCCTTGCAAGCCAGGTATGTGCCCTTGACCAGAATCGAACCTGGGACCCTTCAGTCCACAGGCCGATGCTCTATCCACTGAGCCAAACCAGCTAGGGCAAAATATAGTATTTTTGTTTAAAAACTATAAAATGCAGAAAAGGTGAACAGAATTAACATTTAATATTGTTGAAAGCCTTGTGGCATGTTTACACATTCAGATATAGTTTTACATGGTTCTGACTATATTACCTATCATTTTGTACCCAGTTACAAAATTGTAAGCATCATTCCACTAATATCTCTTGTAAATCTGATTTTCAACACAAGATTGTGACTATACTCTTAATTATGTTACATTTCCCCAATGTTGGAGGTTTGTTATTGTTTTGCTATTACTAACATTATGACTAACTTATGTAATAGTTTTCTCATTTCTATTTTCCCTATATTATAAATTCATAGAAGTTGGGTTCCTGAGGTAATAGAAGTATTTTTAAGACTTGATACATACTACCATTTTGATATCCAGAGGCAATCCTTCACTTTATATTTCTTGCCTCCTCCTTCCATGTAACTAAAGGGTCTGAAAGTCAGATTGTTATAGCTCTAAACATTCGCCTTCCTCCGGAGAGAGAATCAGCAGTGAAGTGAGCAACATCTAAGTAATTAATTGACCCCCCCCCCCAATTTGGAGTCTAGCCATTGTTTCTGTTTGCTTTTAAAGTTCAAGTTTTGCTCTCTTAACTGTATCACTGGAAAGGATGTTAAAACTAAGCAAAGGCATATATTTCCATATCCTTGGATGAAAGATGTCTTGCAAATTCATATTGCCCCTTACCATTCCTAATTCCAGGAATTCAGAATGTAAATGAATCATTTTTAAATGAGACTAATTGATATATTGTTTTTAGTTGATATGCTAAGTTGCTTACTGCAGGGTATTCCATCCGTATTCCCTAATAAAGTCAGGACTGAGCGTTACTAGGCCTCGCCTCTGCCTCCATCTGAGGGAGAGAGTTCTCTGAACAGGAGAGAAGGAAGACAACTTACATTTCTCATTCCTAGTTGTGTGGCAGCTACTCTCCTGTCTAGGAGAAGAATGTCAACCCAATTTTCAGACAGGAAAGTTATTTGAAGCTCAATAAGTTAAGAAACTTGCCCAGGTCCACACAGCTCATAAGGCAGAGTAGCCATAATATAAGCCCTGAGCTTTTCCATATTCTTTTCACTGTGTCTTTCTGCCCTCTGAGAGAAGTGGAGTGTAAGGAGAGTCATAAAGAAGACTGGAGTCCCAGAAAGCTTCTGAAGCATGTGTTTGAAAGGCACTGATGTTGGCTCCACAGTAGAATAGGTGTTTCCAACATGTGATTGTGCCTCCCACTGACAAGTCCTGGGTATGTGACAGCCTGTGTGAAGAATTAGACAAAGGACTAGAGATTTAAAAAACTTTCCCTCTCATCATAGGGCTTTGTTTCTTATACAGTGGGATTTTTCATTTCAGGTCCTGTGTTGGTGTGTCTATTGGATTTCTCAGGTTTAGCATTGACTTTCCCATTATTCTCCCCTTTTCAGGTATTTCTGATCTTTCCTCTCCACCTTCTAGGTTTGTGGCTGATTCTTAATGTTGCCCTTCAACATCATCCTGTGCACTGATCAGCTCCTCCTTCCCCTGCCTCCCTTAGAGCCCGATTCTACTCCAGCCTGGTGTGGCCACCTTGTCTTCAGATGGGAATGGAGTTTGAATGGCCTTCCCGAAAGAGGATGGGACCCATTTCTTTGTTTCCTGTAACCATCCTTGGACCTGACGCAGCAAACCATCTAGCCCTGGAGGAGTCTAATCTACCTGATGCAACCCTGAGTTTTCCTCAAAACCTGCAGTGTCTGAACCAGCCTGGCTTCTCTTTTTTCTCTCTACTGTGTCAAATTTTTGCCTTGCACCTTGGAAAGCCAATTATTCAAAATCTTCCCAAGGTGCTGTATTTCTACCTCATGGACTGTCATTCTTCTCCCAAAAATTGCATTGTATCTTTCCTAGGAGGGTTTCTTTAACAAAGCAAAGGGATTCTTTCCAATAGTAAGGTTTGGACTTGAGTCTTCTACTTGGCAGGTTCCCAGTCCTCACAGTTTGTTGTCCCTGTGTCCTGAAAATATGAGGGATTGGCAGATGTCATTTTGGTCTGAGAGCTGACTTGCTTGAAATTCAGCCTTAAATGAAGCTCTTAGTATATTTAGGTTAGTGGCCAACTTCGGTATTTGTCTGTTGTATTCTCTCATGTTTACTGTAGGTGGCGCCAGTGTGATGCAGTCATCTGAGGTTACCGTTTATGTAGGCTGAGGAGATGGGATATTTGTTTTCATGGCTGAGTCTTGGAAACTGGTTGCCCACTGTTAAGGGTGATGCTTTGTGAAGCCACTGCCTTGAAGCCAAATATTTTTTACTTAAAAAAATGTTTGGCATTTAACATTGAGCCAGGAACAAGGTGCTTGAGTCTTTGGCTCTGGAAATGTTTCAGACTGGTGCCAGCACTCCGTCACTCATTTCATATGTTCCAGGTAAATTTTTATAATTGGCTGATGTATATATCTCTTCATGTGTCTCTCATGAAGTAGGAAGCTAGAAGTGGAGAATATAACCTCAAAAAACAAACAAACACACACACACACACACACCACACCACACCACACCAAAAATAAACAAAACCCAACAACCTTGAGCTAGGCCAAAAATTAGGTAAGAGACATTGCTTACCTGCAAATGAGTCATAGTAGAAGTAGGATCTTTCCATGTCATGGAGAAGCCTGCTGGTTCTGGATGATGACTGGGAGAATCGTAGGTCTTTGGGGTGAGGACTAAGTTGATCTCCATTAAGTTTTTTCTGGTTAGCAGATATGCGGGAAGCTTTGAAACCTTTCACTATCTGCTGCCTAGGCTAGGCTTGCCCCAGAGCAATTGATATCATTTGTGTGACCTCTGGAATGTCCTGTCTCCAGGGCCCAGTCTGTTGGGGGACACCAGGAACTACTGGGTAGCTCTTCCTTCTATCAGGTTAATAAGCTTGACAGGTGCTTTGTCTCCCATAATCTCATCAGTGAGGAAGCAATAGCTGGGAAATTTTCAAGTGTCATGACTGTGCTGGCCCAGTTTTGAGCCTCTTAGATTCCCTGCTGGTCTCTGCCAGTCTGTCTGATTTATACTTCAGCATTGATTTTAATGCTTTCTAGGGCAGGGCGAGCACCCTCATCCAGGCACTGCCCATTGGCTTCCTTTGTAAAAGCTATTTCCAGTCATCGTCCAGCACTCAGACAGAGCCAAGGGGATGCCTCTTGCCCATGGCTATGAAGTTGAAGTGGACTGGCTCTAACAGCAAGGCCAGACAAGCTCTAATCACAGGCTTTTGCTCTCCTGAGATTGAGGTCTGGGCTTATAGTTTGGAATACAATATAAGTGAAGGTTTTTGTTGTTGTTTGTATTTTTTAAAAAGTACACATGATTATTTTATTGCTATTTAAAAATAAATGACTTTATATTGATTGTGAAACCAGTTGTCTCCATTTGTCTGCAAAATACTTAGTGATTGGGCGCCACCATGTGGTGAGCTTAGGCTTTGGAATGGGGTATAAATATTTTTTAAACATGTGCTGAGTGAGATGGATCCGAAGTTCTAATTTTTGAAAATGTTTCAACTCTCAAAGAGTGCAATGTAATTGTATTTGAGTTTCAGAGTTGAGGTGCTCCCCCCAAAGAGTTTGGCCCACTCATTGAGTGTAGTGGCTCTAGGAGGAAATGGGGTAAATCAGTGTGATGGTACCTAGCTGGCAGCACATACTACTAGTGAACAGCTATCCTCCAAGATAGCTGTTGACTGAATTTGGAATCTCTCACTTAGAAGGAACATTCCTACACTCTGGGTTCTGGAAGCCAGATCCATCTCCCCTTTTCTTCATATCCCCTTACATGTCCTGATCCACGTTGTCTACCTTCCATGGGAACTCTGTCTGCACAGTGATGTTTCTCATGTGCTTTTTCTCTCTTCGTCTGGATGAGCAGAAGAAGATCATGATCATGATCTGCTGTATCATCCTTGCGATCATCTTAGCTTCTACCATTGGGGGCATATTTGCCTGAAAAAGGTGAGCCATCTGTGGGGAGGGTCAGGTCTGCTTTCACTTACTGAAATGGGTGTGTCCTGGGGGCATTCATTGTTTGTCACCAAAGTCTGGGTGGGATTAGGTGTTAGAATAGATGAAGGTTGGAGAAAGCTAATGAGAGAGATGCTTCATAGTGAGAAAAGTGAGTGAGGGATGCATTGGTAGTAGGTAGATAGGGAGACAAAGGTGGCAATCTGGTCTGGTAGAAGAATGCTTTCTCTAAGGGTGTTGGTCTACTGCAGTGGTCGGCAAACTCATTAGTCAACAGAGCCAAATATCAACAGTACAACAACTGAAATTTCTTTTGAGAGCCAAATTTTTTAAACTTAAACTATATAGGTAGGTACATTGTTATTAACTTAATTAGGGTACTCCTAAGGCTTAGGAAGAGCCACACTCAAGGGGCAAAAGAGCTGCATGTGGCTCGGGAGCCGAAGTTTGCCGACCACGGATCTAGGCTTTAACACCAGAGAAATGATATTCAGAACCTTTCACCAGGCATATGTATATATGACATACTAGTATATTGGTCATAAAAATACCTGCATGTATATTTCCATCATAAGTATCCTAATATATAAAAAGCCAGGGGTCGTCATGACCGAAATAACCAGCCACGAAGTTTCAATCGCACTGTACGTGCACGCCCTCACATGGTATTTTGTGGAAGAGCCACACTCAAGGGGCCAAAGAGCCGCATGTGGCTCGCGAGCCGTGGTTTGCCGACCACTGGTCTACTGCAGCAAAATGTGGGCCTTGCCATCTAGGGATGGCCAAAGGATAAAGAATCAGTTCTTGTATTAGAAGCACCTTAAACTCTTTGGAAAAGGGCCACATAGTAAACCTCATGTAAATAAATTTTCTCCTTTACAAGGTTAGGACATATTAATGTAGCCTTGTGAGTAGCCCATTACCCCTGCAGAAAAGGGATTTGTGATCCTGACCTTGAACAACTTGCTGTATAATCTTTGACTTTCCCCCTCCACTTTCTATTATCTCCTTCAGCCCTCACAGGTGGATCCTCGACTGGCATTTTTAATCCTCCGTCCACCTCTGTGGTGCCATCACTTCTCACTAAAGATTCCTCAACAGTGACTCCTCTTTCCATTATGAAACCTCTTATAACACAGGGCATCAGTCAAACACCTACTGAAAGTTATGCAAAGGGAGACATTATGACCATACAGAGTTGGGCAGCGGGCAGTGGTGAAGGAACAGGGAGTACAGAAATACGTAGCTGGTTTGAAGCAACCGACTGCAGGGTAACAGGCACCTCTTCAGGAAATAAAAGCAGATATTGTAGCACACCCAGTTCATCAGGATCAGTTGATCAGGTTTGGGCACTTGTTACTTCTGCTCTTCAGGTTCTTCTAAGTCTCGCCTTTGACCAACCCTACATCTGCTTCCTTCTTCAGGGCCCTCTAGTCTTTAAAGTGAAGTGCCTAATGATAGGCACCAGGCATGTCTTGTTCACTGCTGTCCTCAGCGTTAGCATAGTGCCTGCCACTTAGAGGTGCTCCACTATCTGTTGACTTAATTACCTGTAACTAAACTCTGCTTTCTATTCGTAAGTCTTTGGATTTCACTCTTAAACCCTTTAAGCCACCAATGGAAAATGGTTTGTTAGTATCAGAGGCTGCATAAAATGCCTGGAATGGGTTGATGTACTTATGTAAAAACAAAACAGGATCCCCCTTACAACTTATACTGTAAAGTCCTTTCCCTATGGATGGTGGAGCCATCAACAGTCTCTCACCCTGCTAAGATGGTTGGTCCCAGGGTTGTGGTTTAATAACTGAACATGGATCCAAATCAAAACAGGTTTATACTTTGGTTGAACTCCTAAGTCATCAATAGTGTGCTCTATGAATCCTAAAGAAGGAGATGAAGATGTTAGGTCAGAAAGGTGAAGTGTGGCTATCACTCACTTCCTTCTTACCCAATCCACATTGCTAACTGAAACTGTACAGCAATGTGTGTACAAGAAACTGTTCCAAACACTGTCCCCAATTCAAGGTTCACATTTGTTCTATGCAATTTAGTGATATTTCAAGTGATTAAAAATACATTAAAAATAGCATACAACTTTTAAGGACCATTCAACTGTTTACGTAAATTTGTACTTTCGAAAGTAAATTATTTTCTTTGTGGGAGATGTCAACTTTTTAAGAAAGTGGGATAAAAATATTTGACATTTTATTCTACCCACTTTCAAAAGCAAATGATTTAATGTTCCTATCAATTTGTATTTCCTTTAGCATGAAGAATGGATAGAGAATTGCTGGCTAGTCCTGAAAAACAGATTAATCTTGGCAAATGCAAATAGGAAGCTGGAACCATGGGGCCCTCATTTATACAGCAATAACTATTCAAGTCCTGTTGGCACACTGCACTGTACTAGAACCCACAGGGATACAAAGATAGAGCCAGATACTCTTCCTCCTTAAACAGTTTCAGACCTAGGAAAGGCCACACAATTCTAACTTTTGTTTTTCAGTTCCTTTTGCTAAAAGGCAAGAGTGTGTTCCCAGTACCTGCCCCCAACCCCCAAGATTGAGAGAAGATGGGTAGCTGGGCATGAGTAAATATTTGTTGAATTAACCCATACACTGTCATTTTATTTCTTTGCTTTTTAAAAAATGTTAGTTTATATTTGTAACTAGTAAAAGGTCTTAGAAACTAGCTCCTGAAGTGTGTACATATAAAAGGAAGTACAGATACTAAGTCTGACTTGCATCAGAGGTGGGAGATGCAAACACCTGCTTTAGTCCTGAAGATGTTCACCACATGGCCAGGGAGGACCAGAGCTCCCAAGTCCATCAGGCCTCTTTCTTAATCATTTAAGGGATTAAGAGTGACCAATGAGAAGTTATAACCAGAGGTGATACTGAAACTTTATTTAATATAAATATAATGCACTTTCATCTATAGCACTCGTATGCGGCTCCTTGGTTATGATATCAGAGCTACCCAGACTTTCAAGGTAACTGAGGGGCACAAATATGTAGATTCCTTCTCTCTGTACATTTATTTCTCATATTCTCACTACACACGTTCAGGCAGGTAGAATTTGCCCCAGTATCGCCCCTTCTGGGTCAGGTCATATGGGCTCAGTACTTTCCGTATCCCTAGCATGTTGGCAGTGGCTATGCGCTCAAAGGTCCAGGGGTTTTGGTTGTTACGCTCTCGTTCCTCTTGAGCTTTCCGCATCTTCTCTAGGGTTTCACGGCTCACAGCCTTTGCTGGGAAGGGCAATTTGTGGGCAACCTGGTTGAGGAAACCTTGTACCTCTTTGAATTCACAGCGTCCACCCATCTCTACTATGAGGCGGCCAGTCTTCACAGGAGTCACATAGTGGTCAATGGCGCCTTTGCCGCCCCCCATACGCTGTCCCATACCCTTGCGGGTGATAGGCTTGAAAGGGGCTGGTACTCGCCATAAAGCAAACATGTTCTTGGGGTCCATAGAGCGGTTGATTGTCAGGCGCATCATTTCAAAATGGCCCCAGTGGAGGTAACCACCACCCAGTGCCTAAAAGTGAATGGGAGAATTAGAAGCACATGGGGATTTAGATATCTTAGATGGGCTCTATTCTTATGTCTTCTTTTATAGCAACTGTGGCTTCAACATACAAATGAAAATAAGAGTTATAATAAGTACCATGGAAAGCCTAGGACTGAGTAAGAAATGAGAACAAGGGCCCACTTCAATGGGTAGCCAGGAAAGGCTTCTTTGAGGAGGTGACATTTAAAACTGAGTGAGGCCATAACAGTAAGAACTAACCAAAGGAAAAAAAGACAAGTATTCCAGGCAGAGAATGGTGTAGGTCAGTGGTTGGCAAACTGTGGCTCGTGAGCCACATGCGGCTCTTTGGCCCCTTGAGTGTGGCTCTTCCACAAAATACCACGTGCGGGTGCGCATGTACAGTGCGATTGAAACTTCATGGCCCATGCACAGAAGTCAGTATTTTGTGGAAGAGCCACACTCAAGGGGCCAAAGAGCCGCATATGGCTCGAGATCCGCAGTTTGCCGACCACTGGTGTAGGTGAAGGTTTGGAGTGTGAGAAGCCAGAGAGGCTGGAGTAGTGAGGAATGGGCAGGCGAGAGTGGACAGGAGGGTCTGAGAGGTAGTCAGGCAGGGGCTGATCTTGGGGTTGTGGGAAGAGGACTTTAAAACATCGCTTTGGCTGCCTGATGGGAAATAAAGACT